AAACAATTTGAGCCTGATGGCAAAGAAGAACAAGGTATACCGTATAGAAGAAAACTTTTGTTCCCAAACCTAGCAAGTTGTACAAGATAATTTCATTGATTTTTTTTATTAATTAACATTATTGGCCCTATGCCTACTCGCTGGGTTTAAAATTTAAAAACTTTCGGGGCCAAAGAAACAAACTATATGGTAATTTGCTACTGACATTATAATTATGAAACTTCTTTCATCACAACATGATGCAACATGAGATACTTTTTATTATTATTCTATATTTTACATGCACAGAGCTTAAATTTGAGCTTCAAGAAAAAAAAGCTACCCTTGATGCATATTTTTCTAAGCAGCAGAAGCAAGAGGCAGTTGAAGGTAATAATGGTATAATGTTATCACTCCATGCAGTGAGTACCATAGCTGGTAGTTATGGGGGTGGGTAAATTTGATAATCTTCTACATGTATGTTTTGTGATTACTCATACATGCAGTGTTTGGTGAATTTGTGGACATGTGCACTGCCATTGAGCTGGCATAGTTTATATGGGCCCAAGGGTGAGGTATATACATGTAGTTATAAATTTCCTCCTATCCCAAAACTGTATCAGTTTATTATTTACACAATTTTATTACTGTGTATTTAAAAAGCAATTTCTACCCATGTGAAATTTATATCTCTTCATAAAGTTTGCCACAAACAATGTAATGCTGTTTTTTATAATAGAAATGCTACGAACAGATATATATTTAAAAGACAAAGCAATAGAACATCTTGTTGAGGAAAAGTCTTTGCTATTAGTAGAAAAATCTCAGCTTTTGGAAGAAATCAGGAAACTTAAAGATAAATTAAATGAAAATGGTGGGTATATCAAGCTCACAAAATTGTAATACTCAATACCTTTATTTTTAAATAGATTTCAGAACACAGGTTAAAAAGACAAATTCAAAAATGTACCCAAATGAAGAGAAAATATTGACTAAAAGTATGAAACAATTCTATTTTATTAACAATACTTTATATTTTAAAGGGCAAGATGCTATGGCTATGGCTCATTCAGCTGATTATGGTGGTGAGCTACATAGGCCTAGTGACAGTGAGAGAGGTTATGAGACACCACCTAAAGGTATAGACCGATACGAATTGGCCATACCGCAACAAGAAATGTCAAAGACACCATTGACAATAATGGTGGTTGGTAGGGCAGGAGCAGGAAAATCAACACTCATCAATTCAATGCTGGGTAGGAAGGTAGCCATAGTATCAGATGGTTTATTCCCTTTCAACCATGATACAATAGAAGAACACACTGGTACAGTCTATGGTACACCAGTGGTGTTTTATGATACAATAGGTCTGGAAGCCCCACAATATAGTTCTAAAGAGTTGATAAAGAAGTTTAAACAGAAAATTGATGAGCGTGGTGATCGGTTCACAATCCTTATATGCCAGCGATTTTTAGACAGGCTTGATGAGTCAGTTAAGCATTTTCTAGATCTTCTTGCAAAACTGTTCAAGAATGATGACACCATGTGGAAAAGCTGTATTTTAGTACTAACAAAAGCCAATAGTTTTGTTTATTATGATCATGAAAGTGGTGAAGAAAGTAATGATGAAGTTCTAAAATTGAAAATGAATATAACTATGATAGAATGTGGCATGAATTTTCAATTGTGCCTGGAAAGATACAATGTACCTGAGGAAAAAATCATGGATATGCCAGTTTGTGTCGCTGGGAATGAAAGGCACATCAAATTACCTGTCACTGATAACTGGATAAAAACATTAATGGATTGCTGCCATATGAGAGCTCTAAATTTCCAAAGTGCTCATCGAACGGAACAACACTCACATGATATGGGAATGTATTATCTCAGTCGAGCAATTGGAGGAACAGGTGGAGATGTTGCACCAATTGTTGGCATACCAATAGGAGTTACCATAGGTTCTTTGGTTGCATATAAAATGATCAACAGCTTATACTGGAGGAGAATAAGAGATGGAGAAGAAAAGGAATTCTATGACAGTAAAAAAATTGATGAATTAACAAAAAAACTAAAATGACAGAAAAATATTTTTATAATCATAATTACTATAATGACTCGGTGTGT